AATACCCAGGAACCATTGGCCCTTACCACCACCCTGTTCATCTGTAGCAGATCCCACCGGCGGTCAGGACAGCACGGTGACCAATGCTTACACGGGCACTGGGAAGGGCATCAGGAACCCCTTAGAGCAAGAGGCTGTGCAGGCTCCCTGAGGTCCCAGGGGAGCCCAGCAGGTGAGACCACAGTGCCTGGGTCTCAGGGGACACCCCAACCTCCCCACAGCCCCGCCAGGAACCAGGCAGAAGAATTCCAAGAGAGGAAGTGGGAGTCTCTTGCCCTGAATGGTAGTCACATTCGGTAATCTGATGTGTTCATCGCACGAAACTCACCAGCAAAACTGACCAGAGCAGCATGTCCCAATTTGCTGTTTTGACAAGACTGTTCCACACAATGATTTAAAAAAGGGCAGGGAGGGGTTCTGTGGTCAAAGGAGTTCAGACAATGCTACATTTTCCTTCCGTTTGGGGGATTCAAGTGTCAATGTATTCTCTTGGTCAAGGAAAGAGACCTATTGAACTTTGCTGAACCTATGTTTGCCTACCTTTCTTGAACACAGAATCCTTTTCTCTCACTGCTCCTGTTGCCAAACCATGGGGCAGGGTTCCACAGAATACCAGTTTGGGAATCCCCAGAATACCAGGGTAAAGGATAAAGAGAACCATTGTCCCCTACTTCATCTTTCAGCGGGATTGCCACTGGCCTTGCTTCAAGTGCGCTGCACCTGAGCAAGACATTACCTGGATATTTACTGAGTGTTAGACCAGACGGGAGTTTGGGGACAAAGTTCCAGCAGCCTCTCCTGCCCAATCCCCTAAGCCAAGTAAAGGGCAAGGAGCAGGTTCCCCTTAGGAGGGGCTAAGAGGAGAGAGCGGGGCTCAAAAGAAGAGAAGTCTTCCCAAGGCTCCGCACCCTGAGGAGGAGGGCCAGGGTTGAAACAGAGGGAGAGAGCAGAATGTCCCACCTACTCGAGCCTTCACTCTGCAGGACCGCAAGGCCAGAGCCTTGGCCCCGGGAGGAAAGAGTGGCTCCCTGGACCCACCTTCCCCCACTTTTATGGGTTCCGGATTTAATTACCTGGGTTCGAATCCCAGCTCTGCACCTAATAGTTGTGCAACCTTTATAACCCCCCAAGCCCCCCTTTCCATCTGTAAAATGGGGACAATAACAGAACCTAGCTCCTCTATGACTGTGAGAATTGAATACAGATGATATATTTCCATAGGTGCTCAGAGTCAGTATTCTAGAAATGTGGGAAATTATGATTATTTCCCAGCAGGAACAGCCAACACCTGGGTCCACTATGAACTGGGGAATCTTCGAAGGGCTCCTGAGCGGGGTCAACAAGTACTCCACAGCCTTTGGGCGCATCTGGCTGTCTCTGGTCTTCATCTTCCGCGTGCTGGTCTACCTGGTGACGGCTGAGCGAGTGTGGAGTGACGACCACAAGGACTTTGACTGCAACACCAAGCAGCCGGGCTGCTCCAATGTCTGCTTTGACGAGTTCTTCCCCGTGTCCCACGTGCGACTCTGGGCCCTGCAGCTCATCCTGGTCACCTGCCCCTCACTGCTCGTGGTCATGCACGTGGCCTACCGGGAGGCTCGGGAGAAGAAGCACCGAGAGGTAGTGGGGGAGGATGGCGGGCGTCTCTACCCGAACCCCAGCAAGAAGCGGGGCGGGCTCTGGTGGACATACGTCTGCAGCCTGGTGTTCAAGGCCGGCGTGGATAGTGCCTTCCTCTATGTGTTCCACTCATTCTACCCCAGATACACCCTCCCTCATGTGGTCAAGTGCCACATAGCTCCGTGTCCCAATATGGTGGACTGCTTCATCTCCAAGCCCTCAGAGAAGAACATCTTCACGCTCTTCATGGTGGTCACGGCTGCCATTTGCATCCTGCTCAACCTCATAGAGCTGACCTACCTGGTGAGCAAGAGGTGCCATGAGGGCTTGGCAGCGAGGAGAGCCAGGGCCACCGGTGTGGGCCACTGCCCGGACTGGGCCACCTCGCCCTGCAAGGGGGACGACCTCCTCGCAGGCGACCTCATCTTTCTGGGCTCAGACTCTCACCCTCCTCTCTTACCAGACCTCCCTCGAGACCATGTGAAGAAGACCATCCTGTGAGAGCCGCCTGGTCAAACCTGGTGGAGAGGGCCCAGCATGTCCCACAAGAACAGCCTTGGGGACAGGCAGCAGGGAGGGTCCGGCCCCTGCTGCAGCTGTGGGGCCTTGGGCAAGTGACCCCTCTGAGCCAAAACTTTATTTCCCTTTGTGTAAAATGGAGGTGAAGCCCACGTCACAGGGTGGTTGCCGTGAGGAGGGGTTTATTTAGAGAATGGATGTGCAAGTACCTTCAGGGGAGGGGGCATGGTCAAGGCTTAATAAAAGTCAACTCATCCACTTGATTGAAGGTGCCCTTTGGTCCCTCAGCCTTTGCGACCCTTCTCAGGTCACTGGGTCAACTTCTCTGCCCCTGCAAAGGGCTGGACCTGATCCAGCCAGGTGAGGGGACCATCCCCTCCCCTGGAAAAGGGTCCCCAGCACTTCTGGGGGTCATGCCACCTGCTCATGCTCAAAATAAGCCTTTATCCCCAGTTGCAAATTGAGGTCCGAGGGCTATCTGCAAACATAATGGGGCTTAGCCTGTGGGGAGCTGTGTGTTGCAATGGAAAGTTCATGAACTTTTGAGTCAGAACACTTGGATTTGAACCCAAGCTCCACTGGGACTCTAGGAAAGGGACTTCAGCTCCTCTCAAAAATGGGTTAATAATACGGAGACCGGGGGGAGGGGGGGAACTGGATGAGCTCATGGCTGTGGATGGGGTAAGCCAGCTGTAAAAGGCCACATAAATGTTAATCATTGGTATTAGGAAGTGCTCAATAAATGCTTGTGGGAAATGAAGCAGAGGAGCCCCTCCCTGGCTGCACATTAACCTTCACTATCCCAGCCACCAGGACAGCCAGGACGCAGGCCCAAGGCCCCTCTGCAACCCTACTGGGAGGTACCCTGACTTCCTTAGAGGCCCAGGCCAATAAAGGACAGACAGCGAGGTTGCGCCTGGCCCCGTGCCAACTTGGGCATTTCATGCTGCTGACCTGCATTCTTCATCTCCGCCAGGGCAGCGGGTATCCTTGTCAAAAAGAACCATAATCGTCCCCTCTCATCCCCTGCACAGCTCACCAACAGCCCAAGCTCTAGTCCCCAGAAATGTCCCCACCAGGGTGGGATGTGATCCTGGGCTGGATCAAGGTGGCCCCTTTCCATAGATGTCAGCTACTGAGGACCTCAGAACTGTGCTTCTGAAGAAAAGGGCAGGAGAGAGGCCTGGGGATGGAGGGACCAGGGGCAATAAGGCAATGGGAAGGGGCTAGGGGCAACAGATAGGGGCCACTGGTGCTGACCTGGGCCCTAGCATAAGAATACCAGGCTCCTGCACTGCCCCCGCCTAAAGACAACTTCACCCACATACCTGCCAGCCCAGGGAGCCAGACCCAACCCTGCCCATCCAGGCTGGAGAGAAGGCGTGGGCCAGGGGTAAAGAGCCACAGGTGTTTGCTCTGAATCTGTGCCCGGGGAAGTCCACCCCCCTGCCCACCCACTCACTCTCCCTTGGCTCATTGGCTCAGAAAGCTCCACCCAACAGAGGAGTGAGGAACAAAAGCTGCCTCCGGGAGGCCCCCAGGCAGACGGACCAGGGACCGGAGAGTCGCTGCTAGACCCAGGAAAGGTGAGGACCGAATCGGGCAGGAGACCGGGCTGGGAAGCAGGGACCAGATGGGCTGAGGATTCCTGGGAACTCGGGCTGCAGGCTGGGCTCCTGGGAGGAGCAGAGGGGACAGAGGATCCCTGGAGAAACCCCAAGGAGGGGGAGGGATGTACTGCCAGACCAAAGGGAGGACAGAGGACCAGAGAAGAGACAAGGAAGAGGAGGGACCAGGAAGAAGGAGTTTCAGTTCAGCAAAATCTATCATGGGTTCACCAGGCCAGGCAGGTGCTGAGTGCTGGGGAAACGGTTGGATGAGCTGTAGAGGCTTGCCCTCCAGGTGCTGACAGTCACACAGGAGACAGGAAAACAGACCATCTGAGTACCAGTGATCTATTCTGCAGAGGAGGGTACTGGGAAAAAGTCCCAGGGTCACAAGCTCTGAAGATGATGAGGTCTGAGTCAGGGACAGGGGAGGGGCCAGGGCCAGAGATGGAACCTGATGGCGCCCCAGATAAGGGGCTGTGGAGGACGGAGCACACAGGACAGGGGCCTGACCGGGAATAATAAGAGAGCTGGCTAGCAAACAGAGAAGGACGGTGTTCCTGAGAGCAAAAGCAAGTGTTGAGGGGAGGACCAAGCCAGAATCCTGCCTCTGTCCCTTCCCCAGTCCCTCCCTAAAGCTGAAATGGTTGGAATTCCAGAGGAACCCAGTGTGGTCAGGATGTTCAGCACTGGGTGCAGGGGAGGGGTGGTGGATGGTGCTGAACCCCCACGGTTCCAAAGAGCCTGCTTAGTCTGGGAGGAAATGTCAGGGCTGGGGATGTCCTGGGCCTCTCGGTGAGGACGGGTATCACTCAGGGGTCCGCCAAAGAGGCCGATAGGAACACACCCAGCACAGGGCCCCGCTCCTGTTGGGTGCTCAGTAGAAGTTGGAGGACAATAAAGACACATCTCCCTCCCCTCCTGCAGCTAAAGGGAGGGCAAGTCATCCAATCCACACCTTCTTGCTGTTTCTGTAGAAGTCGTGTGATCCGCAGGGCTCAAACTTGGGGTCAAAGAAGTTGGCGGGTGCATTGGTGCGAGATGATTATTGTCCCATTTATCACTTCATAGAATAAAATCTTCCCTGATTTTGGAACTGGAAGGTGGGGGTTCAAGACCAGCTCTGCCACTTCCAGCTGGGGAGCCTTGGGTGGGTGCCTCCCTGGGCCTTAGCTTACTCCCCTGTGAAACTGGGTAACGGCCATGCCGACCCCACCTTTAATAAAGGGCGCCCATTTCCAGGCTCTCCCAGCCTCGCGGCCCCCACACCACAAGTGGGTGCTCACGGGTGCTGACGGTCCACGTGAGGAAGCAAGGACACTGTCAGCATGAACTGGGCATCCCTGCAGGCCCTCCTGAGCGGCGTGAACAAGTACTCCACGGCGCTGGGCCGCATCTGGCTGTCGGTGGTGTTCATCTTCCGCGTGCTGGTGTACGTGGTGGCGGCCGAGGAGGTGTGGGATGATGAACAGAAGGACTTCGTCTGCAACACCAAGCAGCCGGGCTGCCCCAACGTCTGCTACGATGAGTTCTTCCCCGTGTCCCACGTGCGCCTCTGGGCCCTGCAGCTCATCCTGGTCACCTGCCCCTCGCTGCTCGTGGTCATGCACGTGGCCTACCGCCAGGAGCGCGAGCGCAAGCACCGCCTGAAGCACGGGCCCAACGCCCCGTCCCTGTACGACAACCCAAGCAAGAAGCGAGGCGGGCTCTGGTGGACATACCTGCTGAGTCTCATCTTCAAGGCTGCTGTCGACATCAGCTTCCTCTACATCTTCCACTGCCTCTACCAGGATTATGACATGCCCCGGGTGGTGGCCTGCTCTGAGTCACCTTGCCCCCACACGGTAGACTGCTACATCTCCCGACCCACAGAGAAGAAGGTCTTCACCTACTTCATGGTGGCCACAGCTGTGATCTGCATCCTGCTCAACCTCAGTGAGGTCACCTACCTGGTGGGCAAGAGGTGCCTGGAGACCTTCAGTCCGAGGCGCAAGCGGTCTCGGCACCGGGACCACCTGCCTGACACGTGCCCCCCGTATGTCCTCTCCCAGGGGGAGCACCCCCAAGATGGGAACTCTGTCTTAATGAAGGCTGGGTCGGCCACCGTGGATGCAGGTGGGTTTCCATAACCTGTGAGGTCGGTAGCGAGGACCACCAGGGCCGTGGTCTGGTCCCTAAAGCCACGGCAGGGCGGTGGCATCTTTTCCGCGGCAGGGCAGGTGGGGAAGACGGTTGCAGGGCTCAGGAAGCCCCCCCAGGGGCCAGTGCTTGAGAGCAGTTTGGTCTCTGGGTCCCGAGCGCCAGGGGAGGGAGGTTGACGGCTGGTGGGAATTTTGTATATGGTAATAGAATATGTGAAAACCGTTAATAAATATGATTTTCCCAGTATGTTGTAGACCAGGTGGGGCGTGGCGGGTAGAAGTGTCAGGGGGTTCACCATGGACCTCAGAAAGGAGGCCACAACCACTCAGTGAGCACCTGAGCCCCGGGACCTCAGATCCAAGCTCATCCATCACACACGCACACACACACACACACACACACCACACACCACACGCCATATAACATACGCCACACATACACACACACAGTGCACCCCCAGGACTTGGTGGGAATGCCAAGAGGCTGCTCCAGGGGTCTCTGGACTCTGCAAGCAGCTGGCCAAGGCAGGAGGAGTGAGACCCCAGGAGACCCTGGGCCCAGCGGGGCTCAGTTCTCAGAGGGAGTCCCTCAGGTGAATGCATGTAGTTAAGGAGGCCTCTGCCTCCACCATTCCAGCCTCCCCTCACTCTGTCCAGCCCAGGTCTCAGAGAGGCAAGTCTTCTCTGAGGGTGGGAGGAGAAGGCCTAGAGGGGGTGCACGGTGCTGAGAGCAAGCCCAGGATGGGGAGTCTGCCAGGATGTCCAAAGGGGCTATCCCCACAGGCCAGGACCTGCTGAGAGCATCCGAGCTAAAGGGTCCCTCACAGAGCCTCAAGTCTGAGGAATTCCCCTTCTCTTCCCCAGACACACATCCCCTCATCCTCCCACCCCCTCCCCCACCACTCAGACCGCGACCACTCCCAGAACCACACCTCCAGCCTGGACCTGCCCCTGAGTCCCCGAGCCTCCCACCATCTGCCCAGGGACCAACCCTCCAGGAGGCCCCCAGGTCTCCTCCAGTCAGCAGCTCCCAAACGGACCGCACCCACCCTCCTCACACATCACCCACCACCCCCACCCCCAGGCATGGCGTGCCAGCCACCCAGCTGTCCGAGCCGGGAGCTGGCCTGACTTCCTCGTGCCCTCCCATCTTCCAGCCTCTCACGGTGCACAGTCCAGTACAGTACCACAGCTGGCCAATTCCAACCCTAAACCTCCCGAGTCTGCCCTTCCTCTCCCACCGCTCTTCCACCACAGGGACAGAGTGGTCTTTCTACACATGCACCTGACTGTGGCGTCCCTCCTGCTTCAAAAATTCTCCTGCTACCACCACTACTCCCCACTGCCCCTCCACCTGGTCCCTGCTGACCTCCCCGACGTCACCCCTGCTTCCTCCCTCCTTATACTCACCAATAAAACCAAAGGGCTTATGGGTCCCCAACCAGACACATCACACTGCATCACAGCTCGGGCCTTCGGATATGGGTTCCTTCTGCCTGGAATGCCCTTCCTTCCTCCCCTGGGACCCCTCCTCAGATCCTAAGGTTAGAAACCTTAAGCCTAGCTTGTGCCTCTGCCATTCTCCCCATTGAGCCAGACAGAGCCATTGGTCCGTGAGCCCTTCCTGAGCAGGACAGTGACTCACCCAGGTCCCCAGCTACCTTTAATAAATGTTTGGTAAATGAGTAAATGGCCTATGAGCTGCTTGGGGGAAGGGACTTGTCTTGTTTACCTGAATCCTTCACCACACGGCGGCCAGGGATAAGCTGTCCTCCCATTTGTTTATAAGTTGCATCGTTGTTGCTGTTCTAACTAAATCTAGCCTAAATGTTTCATTTATAGTCGAGGAAACTGGCCTAGAGATGGGCTGAGTCTACAGGGGGCTGTGTCTCCCGTGGTCCCTAGAGAGCCTCTGTGCCTCCCCCTCCCCCAGCTATGGGACGAGATCGGGCATCACATGCATCTTAGGTCAGGGCCCTGGAAGTGGGGCCAGTGGCCGGAATTCATGCGCATGTGGAGGAAGGAGCGAGGGAAGCAGGCTAGGGAGGAGGCCAAGCTGGGTATGGGCTCAGGGAAACTTAGCCTTGACCCCGGTGCGGTGAGGGGCCTTTGGACCATATATCCCACCGCTGAGTCGTCCCCGCCGGAGGAGAGGGCATCAGGCTTTGAACTCCCGTATCAGTCAGTCATTGGCTTCAGGCCAGCCCATGGGCAGGAGGGCTGGCAGGAAGGGGTAGGTGACTCCTATCCAATCAAGGTCAATTCTCCAGGGGCAGCTATAAGCCACGAGCACCCTGTATTCATAGCAGCTAGGGAATGGGTGTCCCCCGGTAAAGGGGACATGGGCAAGGCACCAATACCATCCACTGAACTCCTGGTCCCAGGAAATAAGGGTGGCTCTACCTTAATCCAGACCAGAGCTGTGACCACCCAATCCCAGAAAACAGGCTGGCTCTCAACCTGTTCAGAACCAGATGGCCCCACACTACTCAAACCAACGTAGCTCCCATGTGCAGGGCCAGCATAAGGTGAGGGCATCCGGGGACCTGACTACTCCTGTGGCAGCCCTCTTCATGGGAGCTGTCCCCAGAGGTCCTAAGTCCCGAGCCAGTGAGCCAGACAGAGCCGGAACACCATCTGAGCAGCCCGAGGCCCCAGAGGAGCTGGAAGAATCCTCTGGGAAACACTTGAGCTGGGACACTTTTATCCTCAGTCCCACCCACACCCTCAAGACCCCCCCACCCACCCTCACTACCACTCTCAGACTTTCCACCTCTCCCTTCTTGAAATCTCTTCGCTCAGTTGGGCCCCTGCCATCTGTCCCCTCCACCTTCGGCCCCGCCCCCATTGCTGCCCCCTCATTGCTCCTCCGCTCATGAAAGACTTGAGGAGTCAGAGTCTTTGGGTATTCTCTCACAGCCCAGGGCTGCGGGGACCATCTGGGTGTCGCTCTGTCCTTTTCATTCCATGCCCTCTGTGTCTCTCATGACCTGCTCCTCTGCTCCATTTAGCTACCCACTCACAGGACCACACCTGGGACTTTGTCTTCACCCAGAACTGCTCCACCTCGAGAATCTCCCATTGGATTCAAATCAACAAATATTTATTGTTCACTTTTACATGACAAGCCCCATGCTAGGTGCTGAGGATTCATCTGGGAAGAATCAGATACAGTCCCCGATCTCATGGAGTTTACATGCCATGAAGAGGACAGCTCATGGCATGCTGAGGAGCATGGGGTACTGAGGGGAGGGGGAAGGTGGAGCCAACATCCAGGAATGCAGGAAATGCTTCCCTGAGGCTTCTTTTTTTTTTTTTTAAGATTTTACTTATTCATTTGAGAGAGAGAGAGAGCCCACACTTGCAGGGTGGGGAAGGAGGTGCAGAGGGAGAGGGAGAAGCAGGCTCCCCGCTGAGCAGGGAGCCCAACGCGGGACTCCATCCCAGGACCCTGGGATCATAACCTGAGCTGAAGGCAGATGCTTAACCGACTGAGCCACCCAGGTGCCCCTTCCCTGAGACTTCTTAAGGTGACACCTAGAGAAAGAAGAGAATTTTGCCAAGCTGAGCAGGAGGAGTGGCCAGGCGGAGGGAGAGCAAGCCTGATGACAAGGATGGGAAGTACCCCAGGAGGGCTGGAGCCTGGCACGGGGGCTCGTGGGAAGAGTCAGGCTGAAGTAGACAGGGGCTTTGTCATGCAGCACTTTCTTGGTAAAGCCCTGTTAATGATCTTGGACTTTATCCTCAGGACAACAAGAAGTCACTGGAGAGACTCAGCACAGAAGTGACGTGATCTAAGGCATCGTGCCTCTGGTTAATGTGCAGAGGGGCCAAGGCAGGGTCACCTATTTGGAAACTGACATAGCGTCCAAGTGACAAACAATGATGGCCTCAACAAGGGTGTGTGCAGTGGGGATGAAGAAGTAGCTGGATTTAAGAAAGACCTACGAGATAGAGTCAGATCGATTTGGTGATTTGAGTAGGTGTGGGGATCAGGTGGAGAGGCACCAGAGTGACACCCAGGTTTCTGCTCTGGGTGGTGGTGCCATCTCCCCAGTGGAGGAGCAAGTTTGCGGGAGATACAATAACTTCAGTTACAGACACGCAGAGTCAGAGAGGTACATAAGATATCCTGGTTATCCCCTCTCTTTGCGGGACCAGCTCAGCCCCTGGATCGCCTTCTCTCTTTCTCTCTCTCTCGAATACTATACTTATTACCATTTCTGATGACTTCACCTCTAACACCCACCTCTCTGTGCTTTGACTTCCTTGTTTCCATCGATCTTTATTCACCTGTGAAACCCCACCCACATACGTGCTCAGGCTTTGGAACTCATATTGATACTGACTGGGGTATCAGTCAGACCCCAGACCTGGTCAGTACCAAGAGCTCCTCACCTCCTACCCATCAGCTTCCTGCTCCAGCCCTCCCTCTGCTACATCTATGGGTCCTCCCCCGTGTCGCTGTCCATCACCCCCTCGATGACCTCCCATCCCTCTTTCCCCAGCTTAGACTCCGAGGGCCCTTCGTAGATGTATCCTCTGCTCCATTGCCTTTGCCTGCTGCTATAGTTACTCAGCAGGCAAGAGCCCAACCCCAGTACAACCCCACTCTCCATGCAGCACCCATTCCAGAGCACCTGGAGAATAATACAACTGGACTGACTGGTTTCAGTGGAAACTTCTGACCACAAACCTCAGGTGGGCCCTCAGCCCCTCTAGCAAATTCTACATTTTCCTAAAACTCTAACCCTAGTCTCCAAGATGACTGTATCATACCTTCTCCTCTCTCCCCAAGGCTCCAGTCCCCATTCCCCCATACCTCCTTGGCTGACAGGCAGACATTAGGTGCCCATTCGCCCTGCCTTCTCCGCTGGGACACGGATGAGCATCCCTGCTCCTGGCACACCCTCCACTTGGACACTGGAGCCCTCACCTCTCACCTACTCTGGACTGTGCCCCACAGTTGTTGCCCCACAATTCTGTAA